TAGGCCTGGCCTTCAAATCCACCCCATTTCCCTCCAGCCTTTCTGTCATCATCTCCACAGCCCACACGTTACCCCTTGAGCCCAGCACACCAGCCACCTCATGCAGGCCCCACCTGCGGATGGTAATAAAACCATGTCACTTTTTTAAAACATGAACTGGAGAGTTGCTGAATTTGTGTAAGGGAGGGTGGAAAGTGGGAGGAATGTAAATTAGATTGATAGAAGCTGTATAGTAAGTAAGAACAGTGCATCTTGGTATACACATAATCATAACTAATGTTACAGCCAGAATCATCTCTAAATTACTGGCTGATAGAGATGTCACTTATTGTCATTAGTCACTCACTGCTACCCGCTGGCACTGTCAGAGGTCCTGAGAATACAACCAGCAAGACAGACAAGATCCTGCTTTCACTGAGTATAACTTCTAGCTGGGGGAGAGAACAGTCACTAAATAAAGGACGGGCTATCAGAATATGATAAATCCTAGGAAAGACAGATTACAATTATGTTATGGATTCATGGGGACTACAGGAGGGCACTATTCTGCAGACATGACATTTGTGCTGAGATCTGAAGAACTAGAAAGAGCAAATGTGAAAAGGGGGAGAAGGATTTCAAGAGAAGCAACGGGAAGGGCAAAGGTCCTCCAAAGCCAAGAAGGATCTGGGATGTTTGTAGAACAGAAAGGAAGCTGGTGTTGCCAAGGTCTTTCTGTTTGGCTTGGCTTAAGGTAGTGTTAACATTAGGGTTTTTTTTGTTTTGTTTTTGAGACAGAGTTTCACTCTTGTTGCCCAGGCTGGAGTGCAATGGTGCGATCTCAGCTTACCACAACCTCCGCCTCCTGGGTTTAAACGATTCTCCTGCCTCACCCTCTCAAGTAGGTGGAATTACAGGCATGTACTACCATGCCCGGCTAATTTTGTAATTTTAGTAGAGATGGGGGTTTCTCCATGTTGGTCAGGATGGTCTCGAACTCTCAACCTCAGGTGATCCACCCACCTCGGCCTCCCAAAGTGCTGGGATTACAGGTGTGAGCCACCGCACCTGGCCTAACATTAGCTTTCATTTTCTAAGCCCTCTGATAAAACAGCAGGGAAGACAGCCCAGAAAGAAGGTAAGAAGATTGACCCAGGGTTAAAGATGACAGGTTAGAGGAGAGAGAGAAAAAGAAGGGCAGGTTTCCACAATGTGCAATTATTCCTAAAAAGCACCAGGAAAAAGTGATGTGTTTCCAGAAAGCTTCTGATTCCTTATGAATTTATGTGAGTTTTAACTAATTAGCAAAAATCTCTCTAGATCATGGTTTATTCCTTCATAAATTCAGTGAGATAGATTAGGCCACATCTGAGGTCATTTTTGGCTCTGACATTCCAAAATGAAGGGCAGTGCTTAGGGTGAGCCACTGCCTCAGCCATTTACGGTCATCTCAGCTACACGAACGGCAGCCGTAATTATCTTCAGCACATTTGTCTCATCCAGTCTTTGAAAAGAATTCACTTTAACTTTCATAAAGATAAAAACTATCTTTTCACACCCATATTTTATTGGCTTGTGGGATATTTAAATAAATTGTACCTTACAAGAAAAACAGAAACAGGTTTGGGACAAATTACAAAGCCAGTCTTAGTGAACACGTAATCCCACAGTGGGGTTGGCAAACAGTATGTGGGCTGTTAGAGTTATCCACAGGCCTTGGACATTCGTGGTTCTGTGGCCACCAGTCGACATTTTTTTTTAAGAGAGAATGGGGAGATAGTAAAGTGGGTCAGTTAGGAATGTGAAGGCAAAGAAGCGGGAGGGGAGTGAAAGAGTATATAAGAGATAAGAAATGATGACTGTCTGAATGCAGCGGTGAGAAAGAGAAGCCTAGGAGGACAATTGGGTGGATGACGACGCAATTCACTGAAATCAAGAATGAAGCAAGGGGGTTAAGCTTTAGGAGCAAAATGGAGGGTAGAGTCCAGTTTAAAACATGTTGTATTTGGCCAGGCATGGTGGCTCATGTCTGTAATCTCAGCACTCTGGGAGGCCGAAGATGGAGGATCACTTGAGGTCAGAAGTTCAAGACCAGCCTGGGCAATACGGTGAAACCCCATCTCTACTAAAAATACAAAAATTAGCCAGGTGTGGTGGCACTTGCCTGTAATCCCAGCTACTCGGGAGGCTGAGGCAGGAGAATTGCTTGAACCCAAGAATCAGAGATTGCAGTGAGTCAAGATTGCACTCCAGCCTGGGTGTCACAATGAGACTCTGCCTCTAAATAAATAAACAAATAAAACGTGTTGTCTTTGAGATGTGTTCCTTGTGTGTGCCTGCTCCTTGTTTTTGCAGCATGCACCTCCCTTCTTGAATCAAGCCCTGCTCTGCACTCCCCATCTCTTGCTGTTCTGAGTTTGTTTGGGTAGAGTTCTTCCCCAGTTCTGAGACTCAAGGTCACACCTGTACCGAAGCCAATGAGTGCCCTGCATTCCTTTGGACACAGCCGTTGGCCTAGGGTGGTCATTGTGATCTAAGCTGGTCAAAATAAAGGGACTTTCAGTACCTTTGCTGAGAATTCCAGGAAAAAGGTAATTGTTTATTCCTCTTTCTCAGTGGATTCTAATCTGGGAGTTTGTAGCCTTAGACATGCCAATAGCCATCTCAAGACCACAGGGAAAGGATCTGAAGGTGGAGCCAACATGGGAAAAACAGAGCCAAGAAATTTTAAAGATAACCAGCTCCTTAGTACTGTGCTAAGACCCTTGACCCACAGAAACTGTGAGACAGTGAAATTGTGTTGAGTAATTATGTTTGGTAATTTGTTACACAATAATAGATTGCTAACATACAGTTGTAATTCTTACGCTGTGCTAAAGCTAAATCTGTCCCCTGACTGTGCAGCTGCATGAGTCAGTATATCCCTGCTTTTGCTTGAAACAATTTGAATTTTCTATCACTTGCAACAGTAAGAATCATAGCTATGGGATAGCCAGGTGGAGATGTGAGGTTAAACAGAGAAGCTGGGAATTGAAAGAGAGAGTCGAGCTGAAGATACAGAATTATATGTCATCTGCACATAGACCAAAGTCATGAGTTTGGAGGTTACCCAGGGAAAATGAGCAGAGAAGAATTTCCCAAAATATGGTCTGTCAACCACCTGCATCAAAATCATTTGAAGGGAGGGTTTTTAAAGGGCAGATTAGGAAGTAAAGGCAGTACAAGGTGGTCTACTCCTTTGAAGGATTGTGAAGTGATGAGAAAGAACAAGGTAGAATGTAGGGGTGGGAAGGTATCTTTGTAACTTTCTTCCAGTTCCTATGATGTCAGTGTTCCCATTCTCAGAGCTACACTTGCTCTTAAATTCTTGCAATACACCTTGTGGTGAGTAAATGCTAAGACAGCCCCAGTAATCCCCTACTCTCACATTCACATTCTTGTGCAATCTCCTCCCCTGAGTATGAGCAGGACCTATGACTTGCTTCTAACCATTAGAATACAGCAAAAGTGATGGTATGTCACTTCCACGATTTAGTTACATAGGACTGTCTTCCATCTTGACAGCAGGGTCTCTATTCCCTTCTCAGCTTGCACATTTTAATGAAGCAAGCCTGGAGAGGCTGACAAGGCAAGGAACTGAGGGTGCCTCTGAGCAACAGCCAGTTAGAAGTGACTGTCCCCAGACTAACAGCCCTCAAGGAACTGAATCCTACCCAACAACCATGTGAGTTTGGGAGCAATTCTTTCCCAGTTGAGCCTCAGATGAGACCCCAGCCCTGGACAACATCTTGACTGCAGCTTTCTAAGAGACCCTGAAGCAGGGAACTCACTTAAGCCATGCCCAGACCCTTGACCTCAGGCATGTGTCCTCAAGGGCTTGTGGGTCTGTTCTACTCAGCATAAAGTTATTTCTCACTATGGCAAGTTATAATTAATTTATCGGAATATAATTCATTATCAAGATAAAGTGATTTCTCATTATGGCAAGGACAAATTTAGGCTTATTAAATTTACTTCTTTACTTCCCCAGCTGGAAACAGTCTATAGCTATTGATGTCATCACTGTCCTCTGAATACCTTGGCTGTGTTAACTGCTTCGACTCAACCTGGAGCTGAGGTGTTGGCGTACTGTACCTCGAGATGCTGAAATATGGCTGAAGTCCAGGGTCATTGGCCCAGGACATCCACTGAGGTCATCTCATGTGGCATGGGCCACTACTTCCTATGAACCCAGCATCACTATACTTCTCATGAATCACCATTCACTAGACTGAGAATTCTGTGGAAGCGGGGATCCTATTTTACTCACTTCTGTGGTCACGGTTCTTAGCTAAGGGCCCAGCACAGAGAGGCCTCTCAGCAGTGTTCATCCATGATTGAATAAAATGGATTACAAACCTCCAACCCTTTCACTACATTTCTGTCCCCAGTGTCTTGTAAGGGATGCTCTTTCTCTCAGATGCTGCAAATCCCCTTCCCTAGAGAGGTGCCTGCCCCACACCATCCCTGCCTGGGAGCCTCTTCTGTGGGAGCTTGAGGGAAGACTAGTCTGTCCTGAAAATGTTCTCTTATGCTTCCCCATCATTAGGAGCAATGTCCTTTGACACACCCTCCCATCCTCTGGGTAGAAAGACTGTATCTTGTTGAAATGATCTGTTTGTGTTCTTCCACTCACTGGCTTGAGTTTCTTTAGAGATATTAAAAACCTGAATGCCAAGTGCTTAGCACAGTATAAAGAAAATTAAATACTCAATAAATATTTATGGGAAACTTCCCTCAACTGAACATGCAGAAGAATATTATAAGTATCACTGCTTCATAATCAAGCAAGGGACACTTACTCTGGCACCTGACCTAGGGCAGAGCAGTTTAATGTGAGAATGGACGTCTCCAATCCTTCTCCAACGTGGTCGTTCCCTCTAACCCACACTGACCTGAAGAGCATCCACTGCTACGGCGGCACCGACGTTGAGGCTCCTGGGTCTGGGGCGGGGGCTCACGGTCACATCCTCCCTCTCTTGGAGTTGCTGCTGCCCCTCACTATAAACCAGCTCTGATCTAACCTGTGGCTCTCCCTGGCCAGAGGCAGGAGATTCCTGTCGAGTCAGTTTCTCTCAGTCCCCACTGCTCAGCTCACGCTGCTCCTTGAGGGTTTGAATGATCACAGCATTGCCATTTCCCCTGAGGCTTCTGTCCTGGTTTGTCCTTATTCTCCCTTCTTTGGTTTTCATTTACCAATGGCTCGTCCTTTGTGGATTATTCTCATCCCCCAAACCTGCTGACTTTCTTTCTTCCACCTGTTCCCGCAGCTCTGGGATTCCAGCGTGTGGACTCAGCTCAGGCTCCTGCAGGAGACACAGAGTCAGGCCTCAGCTGAAGGTCCCAGGCAGTATTGAAAAGCATCTCAATTCCTCAGAGGCTCAAAGAAAACAGAGTGGGAAGGGACCTCAGAGAGGTACAATAAGTCCCAACCTTACAGATGAGGAAACTGAAGGCCAGAAAGACTGAGACTCTCCCAGGCTCCCTCCCTCACCACTTGGTGGCAGCAGATCCCACACAAGCCTTGGCCTCAGCCTCCCTGTGCAGAGCAGGTAACTCGCCCTCCCAAAGCTCGCTGCTGCCATTTGGAAAACTTTAGATGAAAAATAGCAGTTTCCACTGTGAAAACAAAAACAGTAAAATCCTCTTTCCTTGGAGAAAGCTTTATCAGTTCTATAGTCCTGGCCTTTATACTCGGTCAGCTGTCATTCACTGGCTGCTAGATTGGGGCAGGGAGCACATAGGATTAAACAGTGTTTCACACAACCCTGCTTTCCCGGCCTGGGCTCTCAGCTCCTCCATTCTTCTTCAGAAACTTTCTTCTGCTGTAACCGCTGGAGAGTCCAGGCCCTCACGTGGGTCATTTCTCCAAGAAGATCCCTGTTATTTTCTTCCTCTCTTGGAGGTCGAGAGGGCAGAGACTGGTTCTGGGACTCCATAGTCTTAGGTTTTCTCCTAAGCCAGCCAGGGCAGCTGAGAGCAATCATGACTGCCAGAGGTCAGCTCAGTGAAGAGGAGCACGGGCTCACAGGGACAGCCCCTCGTAGAGACGGTCAGGACCGTGACACACGCAATATCTGACCAATTCTGCTGGGATGATGCCACAAGGATTAAGTGGAGGATGCTGCCACGAGGAGAAAGGGGAAGAACCAAAAGAGTGGGGGAAGAAGGAAAATAAAATGTTTTCAATAATGATAGAAAAAAGTGCAGAGCCCGAAGGCAAAGCCCCCTGTCACAGAGGGTTAGTTCCAGGCTGTGGAGCCTAATCAAGAAATTCCTACTGGACTTTGCTGAGCCCCATGTCAAAATGGTTTTGGATCAGTGACTTTGTTCCCTCCACTTTCCCTCTTTTTGAACAAGAATCACTAGCAGTGTCATTCTGTGACTGTCCCACCACTGCACACTGAGGACAGATAAGCTGTTTGTTCAGTTTCACGGGTCAACAGGGGTAAGGGAATTCTATCAGGGATCTGTACTTGGGCCGGGCACGGTGGCTCATGCCTGAAATTCTAGCACTTTGGGAGGCGGAGGGGGACAGCCCCTGAGGCCAGGAGCTTCAGACTAGCCTGGCCAACAGGGCAAAACCATGTCTCTACTAAAAATACAAAACAATTAGCTGAATCCAGTGGTGCATGCCTGTAATCCCAGCTACTCGAGAGGCTGAGGCAGGAGAATCACTTGAACCCCAGAGGCAGAAGTTGCAGTAAGCCAAGATCACACCCCTTCACTCCAGCATGGGTGACAGACCAAGACTCACGCTCAAATAAAAGTAATCTGGGCCGGGCACGGTGGCTCAAGCTTGTAATCCCAGCACTTTGGGAGGCCGAGGCGGGTGGATCACGAGGTCGAGAGATCAAGACCATCCTGGTCAACATGGTGAAACCCCGTCTCTACTAAAAATGCAAAAAATTAGCTGGGCATGGTGGCACGTGCCTGTAATCCCAGTTACTCAGGAGGCTGAGGCAGGAGAATTGCCTGAACCCAGGAGGCGGAGGTTGCGGTAAGCCGAGATCGTGCCATTGCACTCCAGCCTGGGTAACAAGAGCGAAACTCCATCTCAAAAAAAAAAAAAAAAAAGTAATCTGTACTTAACGGACACCCTCAGCAGCTTCATTCACACTTGGTGTAGATGATTTAAATGAGATTTTAAACTTTTGATCAGATTAAAACTACATGACATTTTTCACTTTGAACTAATGCATTAATGACATGAAACTTGGAAACCTTAGGTGAGAGGGTGAATGTATTTTGTGTCTGAGAGGAACGTGAATGTCTGGGGACCAGAAGTTGAACTGTGATAGGTGGAATTTCTAAAATGGTCTCCAAACATGCTGTACCCTTATCTCTGAAACCTGTTAAGCTGATGAGACATTCCTGTAATTACGTTGTTACATGGAAGTCATAGGACTGCAAAGAGTGATATGGTTTGGCTCTGTGTCCCCACCCAAATCTTATGTTGAATTATAATCCTGAGTGTTAGAGGTGGGACCTGGCAGGAGGTTATTGGATCATGGGGATGGTTTCTAATGGCTTAGCAAGAGTTTCCATGAGAACTGGCTCTTTAAAACTATGTAGCACTTCCTCTTTCTCTCTTTCTCTCTCTCTCTCTCTCTCTCTCTCTCTCTCTCTCTCTCTCTCTCTCTCTCTCTCCTGCCAGCCCACAGAACCATGACCTAATTAAATTTCTTTTCTTTATAAATCACCCAGCCTCAGGTCATTATAACATTGCAAGAACAGACTAATTCAAAGGCTAAGATTTCCTGAGTGGGCCGGATCTAATTACATCACTCCCTAAGTGTCACAGATTTCTCTAGTGGGTAGGAGATGGGAGCTGGAGAAGAATTCCATGAGCTGTTGTTGGTTGGAAGATGGGGAAAGTGAGAAAGAATGCAGATGGCCTCTGGAGTCGGGTGTCTCCTGGCTGAGAGCCAGGAGGACTGCAAAAGGATGTCAGTCTTCCGCCCACAAGAAGATGGATTCTGCCAATACATCTGTAGTGAACTTGGAAGAGTATCCTGAGCTCTAGATGAAAAACACAGGCAGCACATAACTGGATTTCAGCCTCCTAAGACCCTGATCAGAGAACCCAATCACTCCTGATTTCTGTGGTTTCAAACCACTAACTTGTTATAATGTGTTAAGAGGTAGCAACAGAAAACTAGTTACAGGTGCCTATCTGTACTCTTTATATTTTCACACACGTGTATGCTTATCCCTATAGGCACAAAAAAGAAAAAAAAGCAAAGAACTACAGTAAAATGTTATGCTTACCTTTATGGGAGCACTGCAAGGGCCGTTCCAGAGCCCATGCAACTGGAAGAAGATAATGAAGGGCATTTCAGGCAGGTGAGAAGTGTCTCTTCAATGTTACTAACCCAATTTCTGAAAGAAAAAAGATGGTAAAATACTTAACTCCCAGCCAGGTGTGATAGCTCATGAATGTAATCCCAGCACTTCGGGATGCTAAGGTGGATAGATCACCTGAAGTTGGGAGTTCGAGACCAGCTTGACCAACATGGAGAAACTCTGTCTCTACTAAAAATACAAAATTAGCCAGGCATGATGATGCATGCCTGAAATCCCAGCAACTTGAAAGGCTGAGGCACAAGAATCAATTGAACCCTAGAGGTAGAAGTTGCAGTGAGCTGACATTGCACATAGCACTCCAGCATGGTGGCTCATGCCTGCAATCCCAACGCTGTGGGAGGCCAAGGTGGGCAGATCACCTGAGGTTGGGAGTTCAAGACCAGCCTGACCAACATGGAGAAACCCCATCTCTACTAAAAATACAAAATTAGCTTGGTGTGGTGGTGCATGCCTGTAATCCCAGCTACTCGGGAGGCTGAGGCAGGAGAATTGCTTGAATCTGAGAGGCAGAGGTTGCAACAAGCCAAGGTCACACCATTGCCCTCCAGCTTGAGCAATAAGAGCAAAACTCTGGCTCAAAAAAAAAAAAAAAAAAAAACTTAACTCGGCATAACATTATCTGCAAATTCATCATCTGCATTTCTAATAGAAGATTTTCTTTTAGGTCTTTCACTCATGCTCACCAGACAAGGTTTGATAGCAACTGTCTGACACCGGCACAGATGAACCAATTCAAGGAGAGCAATAAACGGGACGACTACTAAGCTCCCCCAGAGAAAGTCCTTAGAATAAAGTATCTCCTCTAGTTGCCACAAGAGCAAGACAACGGTCCATTGTATAAAATTCCAATCTAATAAAAGCTGAAATGGAATGTTGTCTGTTTTCCAAAAGTTTATTTTGTTCAGGCTCCATCGTGGTGACCAGGGATTGGAAAATGACTGCAAAGAGGCTCTGGGGAATCTGGGGAGGGAGGAAATGTATTCTAAGAGGGGACTGAGGTGATGGCTGCAAAATTCTGTATGTCTACTGAAATTACTCAATGGTACATTTGCAATTAGTGACTTTTATTACAAGTAACTTGTTAAATGAAATTCCTGGTTTCTACTCCAACTTGTAAGGGGCTAGGAGGTCACCACTTGTCCTCACAACAAGAAGAAAGGTGAACAAACTGAAAATTATCAACCCTGTTATCAGAGGGACTAGAGGAGAGGTCACAGGGCAAACTGCCATGCTGAAAACAAGACACACAGGCAAATACAGGGAACAGAAGCTGCTGAAGCCAGCAACTGGGAGGAGCACTTCAATGGTCCTCACAGATTACTAGAAGCTGAGGGTGGCCTGGCTTGAGCCTTCAAAACTCCTTGGGGCCCAGATTTAGTGGGGATCTCACACTTTTCTAATTTTTACCACCAGGAGCCCAACCAGGTTCTCATAGTAAAGATCAGAAAAATCCCCAGAGAACTGACACTGCCCACTTCGGTACTAATTATAGAGCTACAGTAACCAAACAGTGTGGAAATTGGTGAAGAAAGAAAAAACAGACAAATAGGTCACTAGAAAAGCATACAGAGCTCGGGAATACACCTACACAGATACTCAACAGATCTTTGAGAAAGGCACAAAGCAATTTAACAGAAAAAGGACAGTCTTTTCAACAAATGATGCTAGAATGACTAGACATCCACATGTGAAAAATAAATAAATCTAGGCACAGATTTTACACCTTCCACAAAACGGATCTTACACCTGAATGTGAGGTGCAAAATTGTAAGACTCCTGGATGATCACATAAGGGAAAATCTGGGTGACTCCGGGATTGGTGATGACTTCTCAGATACAATGCCAAAAGCACAATCCAGGAAAGAAAAAATTGAAAACTTGAACTTCATTAAAATTAAAAACGTCTTCTCTGTGAAAGATATTGTTAAGGAAATGAATAAACAAGTGACAGACTGGGAAAAAAATATTGGCAAAATACAGATCTGATGAAAGACTGGTGTCCAAAATATATAAAGGACTCTTATTTTACCGTTTTTTTTTTTGTTTGTTTGTTTGTTTTTTTAAGAGACTGGGGTCTCTCTAAGTTGCCCAGGCTGGAGTGCAGTGGCTATTCACAGGTGTGATCCCACTACTGATCTGCACAGGAGTTTTGACCTGCTCCGTTTCTGACCTGGGCCAGTTCACCACTTCTTAGGCAACCTGGTGGTCCCCCACTCCCGGGAGGTCACCATATTGATGCCGAACTTAGTGCGGACACCGGATGGGCATAGCGCACTACAGCCCAGAACTCCTGGGCTCAAGCGACCCTCCCACCTCAGCCTCCCAAGTAGCTGGGACTACAGGCACGCGCCACCGTGCCTGGCTATAAAGGACTCTCAAAACTCAATAATAAAAAACCAAACAGCTGGGCCAGGCGCAGTAGCTCACGCCTGTAATCCCAGCACTTTGGGAGGCCGAGGTGGGTAGATCACGAGGTCAAGAGATCGAGACCATCCTGGTCAACATGGTGAAACCCCATCTCTACTGAAAATACAGAAAATTAGCTGGGCATGTTGGCGTGTGCCTGTAATCCCAGCTACTCAGGAGACCGAGGCAGGAGAATTGCCTGAACCTAGGAGGCGGAAGTTGCGGTGAGCCGAGATCGCGCCATTGCACTCCAGCCTGGGTAACAAGAGAGAAACTCCGTCTCAAAAAAAAAAAAAAAAAGCAAACAAACAACTGAATTTAAAAATGGGCAGAAGAAAGGCCGGGCGCGGTGGCTCAAGCCTGTAATCCCAGCACTTTGGGAGGCTGAAGTGGGTGGATCACGAGGTCAAGAGATCGAGACCATCCTGGTCAACCTGGTGAAACCCCGTCTCTACTAAAAATACAAAAAATTAGCTGTGCATGGTGGCACTTGCCTATAACCCCAGCTACTCAGGAGGCTGAGGCAGGAGAATTGCCTGAACCCAGGAGGCGGAGGTTGCGGTGAGCCGTGATTGCACCATTGCACTCCAGCCTGGGTAACAAGAGCGAAACTCCGTCTCAAAAAAAAAAAAAAATGGGCAGAAGATCTGGATACTTCACCAGAAAAGATATATGGATGGCAACTAAGCATGTGAAACAGATGCTCAAAGTCATGTGTCACTAGGAAACTGCATATTAAAACAATGAGATACCACTATACGATAATACACACCTAACAGGAAGGCTCAAATCCAAACAAGTGACAATACCACAGGCTGTCAAAGATGCAGAGCAATGGGGACACTTACTACTAGTGGAAATGCAAAACGCTAGTCACTTTGGAAAACAGTTTGGCAGGCTTTTTTAAGAAGCTAAACAGTCTTCCCATATAATCCAGCAAATAGCAGTTTTAGATATTTACCAAAGTAATGTTAAAATATGTTCACTCAAAAACTTGCATCCAAGTATTTACAACAGTTTTACTTATAACTCGTCAAAAACTGGAAGTAACCAAAATGTCCCTCACTAAGCGAATGGCTAAACGAACTGTGGTATATCTGTACAAGAGAATATGATTCCGTGATAAATGAAATGAGCTATCAGGCCATGAGAAGACATGGAGGAACTTTAAATACAGAATGCTAGGAAGAAACTAGTCTAAAGACTCTACACACTGTATCATTCCAACACTAGGACATTCCAGGAAAGTCAAAATGGTAGAGATAGTGAAATGATCAGTGATTGCCAAGCGTGCAGGAGGGATGAATTGGTTGAACACAAGGAGGTTTTCAGCAGTGAAACTATTCTGTGTGATACTGTACTGGGGATTCATGACATGGTAATTGTCAAAACTCATATAACTATAAAACTCAAAGAATGCACCCTAATGCAAACTATGGAGTTTAGTTAATAATGTATCAATATTGATTAATCAATTGTAAACATGTATCACACTAATACACAATACTAATGATAGAGGAAATAGTGTGCTAGGGGACAAGGGAGAATAGGGGAATTCCCTGTACTTTCAAAAGCCCAGCAACTACAGCCAAATGACAGACTCCCAGTCTAACGCCGTCACCACTAGATGGCTGAGCCTGGCTGGGGAAGACTACGCTGTTGCCAGGTATCCCACCAGACTTCCAGCCTGACTGTGAGCTGTGCAAGAAGCCATAGAGTGTTCCCCAGGAAACAGTTATCTATGAACTGACAACAGAGAACCAGTGTCTACATACCCTTCCTTACAGGTCACCATGTCAGAGGTGGGACAAACGATTGAAGACTAATGACAAAGCAGGTTGTTTTTACCTAAGAAACCCCAAAAGCAGCTCAGCAGCTCAGTCAGCACCCTCCTTCCCAAACCAGTGCACCTCCCTGCATTTGGCAGGCACCAGAGTACAAGGTGTGCAGGTCTGGAAACTTCTAGGCAGTTCTGCCCCTTCCTCTCCCTATGGCCGAGAGCTCAGCAACAGCAGCCTGCAGATTCTTCCTGTTCTTTCTCTCAAATGCATACCTTCCCATCCACCCTCACCACCATCATTCCAGTGTGGACCTCCCTCATCTCCTGCCCCTCATTTTCTCCCAGCTCCACCCGATTCTCTCATCACAGCTGCTCCCTACTCTACAGCTGGCTGTGGTCCCTCCCCTCTGTGATTTCACTGTGTCTACCATTTAAGTTTTTAGCCTGGAATTCAAAAGCATCAATAATCTAGCCCTCATCCCTTACCCAGTCCCTCTTTCTAGCCACTCTTGCTGTTCCTCCAATGTGTCCTGTGCACACTCCCCTCAGCATCTTCCCTCTTGTTACTCCTCTCCCAGCGCTGCTCTTCTCTCAGCCCTGTCCCACATGTTCAGTCAATGCCTATCAAATCTGACCCAACCTGCAAAGTTCACTTCAAATCCCATGTCACCCATGAAGTTATTCTTAAGGATCCAGCGAAGAGGAAGCCTGCTGCTCCGAAGTCTCCTGTACAGCACTGGCCACGCACGCTACCTCGCCGCAGTGCTAGTGGTGAACACTTCTCGTGTTCCTGCCCAGATTGCGGTTATGTTCCCAAGCAGCTGTCATTGCTGTGGCTCTACCAAGAGTAAGGGAGAGTAGAATGAATTTACTTAAAAGTCAACCAATAAAACTGGTGGCAGGAGGGGAGGCTTTGAGACTAAGGTTATCTGGGTTCCAATAGGGCTATATCAGTGCCCTTAGAGAAGTTATGTAGCCTCTCTGAGCTTCCTTTCCACATCTGAAAACAGATGGGTATCTATTTTACAAAGCTTTTGTCAGAATTACAGATAATATATTAAACCACCAGAAATCATTACTATCATCATTACTAATCAACCTAAAATATTTCTTGGGGTGATCATAAGAAACAGATAATATATGAGACAGAACTTTGTAGAATATAGAATTATTGTGTTAATTTTAAATAAGAAGACTTGGAATACATTTGTGTTCTTATATCATATGACCAACACAGACCTCACAGATGCCCACTAATCACCAGCCAGTACATTCTCCAACAGCTAATCACTTTGGCTTTCAGAATATCTGTGCTCAAAACTGTTAGAATGAATTTACTTAAAAGTCAGCCAATAAAACTGGCGGAATCCTATGTCCAAACTGAGGTTTTGCTCCCTATGGTACCAGACACTAATTCAACTTAAAATCTCTATTTTCATCTTTTTTTTTTTTTCTTTTTGACATCTTGTACACAGAGCATTGCTCTTCTCACTGCTCGAGCCCAGACAAATGCTACCAAAAGCAAGAGAAAATGGGGTGGGGGTGTCAACCTAAATCACAGCCTCCATCTCAAGCCAACTGGGTAATCTTTCCAGCCCCACATTCAGTCCTCTGCTTTCCAGCCAAGGCTTCCTGCCTGAGTCACTCAAGAGAAAGCACTGCTTTCTCCCCACTGCTGAGCTACTCCCACTGTGGCCACCAGAGGGTACCCCACAGCATTAGCTACAAAGCAAGGACACACCCTTTCCCAGTAAAATTGTCCATTTGAAATATTTTCCGGACAGCCTAACAGCAGCCTCCCCAGCTTCCAGCCAACAGGACTGCCCAGAAACTCCAGAGCCAGCTGCTGCTAGTACTGTTGAGGCATCCGTTCATACCAAGCAGCCAGCACTTCACAAGGGGTTTGAGTCACTGGGGTCCCAGAGTCCAATTTCTGTGGGTCTGAGCCCTCCCCAGCCAGATTCTAGAATCGTCGATGAACAAAGAGTATCTGTGGCTTCAGTAACTGTTTCCCTTTGACACAGCATCTGAATTTTTGCCTGGAACACCACTGGCTCTCAAGTTTCAACAAAGAAAGGGGAAATGCAACTTATCAGACTGGCAGACCACAGCCCATGATGGGCAGGTCATGTCTTGCAGAATTCTCCCCCAGTGCCAAACACTGGGATTCAGACATGCTGGTGTTCCATTCCGCCTGATCACTTCACTGAAGGTGCAGAGTGAGTTGCCTCCTCCTTGGGAAAGGACACGTCCAAGATCACATAGCTAATGAGTGGCAGAGAAAATTTAATTTGCTCCCAAGCCTGTCTGAAACTCCAGAACCTGCACTTTAACCACTATATTATATAGTTGTTTTATTTTTTCCATTGCCAACAGAAAGTGTTGACCAGATCCCTGTAGCTTAGTTGTACTGCCTGTCATCCTCATCCCACGCCACACCTGCCTTGCTTCAGACACACTGGTGGTTTTTCAATTCCTCGATCAGACCCAGCTTCTCCCCATCTCTGGGTCTTTACATGGGCTCTTCCCTCATCTTGGAATATTTCCTCCCACCCCTCCTTTATTTGCAACCATAGTTTATCTTCTTCCTCTAAATCTGGGTTTAAGTATTCCCTTCTCAGAACAGCCTTTCCCGATTTCCTTCCTAAAATGGGTCCCTTCAATTCTCTTACTCAGATTCTTGATTTCCCATGATGGCACTCATTACAAACTTATCAAATTTTTGTATTAGTTTCATTTTCCCCCCTGTTTCTATTTTATTTGCCTTCCTGAGGTAGGAGGTGGGACCTGACACCAGAGGCGGAGCTCAGACACCAGACCAGATGGAGGACTAGCTAAAACAAGGCTTGGGCAAAAGCAACTTTTAATCAGATATGCCCATTAGTGTGCCATGTCCATTTGCCATTGCCAGGGCAACACCCAGACAGTTATCACTCCTTTCCATGGCAATGACCCAATAACCCAAAAGTTACCACTGCTTGCCCTAGAAATTTCTGCATAAACCACCCCTTAATCTGTATGCAATTAAAAATGGGCTATATAAATATGACTGCAAAACTACCCTGAGCTACTGCTCTCTGCCTACGGGGTAGCCCTTCTCTGCAGGAACAGTCATGGAGCTATAACACCGCCTCTTCGCTAAAGCTGTTTTCTTCTACCTTTGGCTTGCCCTTGAATTTTCTGGGAAAAGCCAAGAACCCAGTGGGCTAAGCTCCACTCTGGGGCTTGCCTGCATCATTTTTCACTATAATGTAAGGTCTGTGAGTGCAGAAATTTGTCTGCCTCAGTCATTGACATATCTCCTGGACCCATAACGTGCAGGGAATTAGTAGGTACTCAGTAAACATTGGATAGATTCTAAGTGTTAGAATTTGCAGCTCACCTATAGAAGACAGGTGGTTTTCAACCCTAGTCTAAGAGCTCTCCTATGTCTAAAAATAAAAATAAAAAAGCTGCAGTCCTTCAGCTTCTGCAGCTCTAAGAGGTATGTCAGCCCAGCAAGCACCGACCCGGTGGAGTCCTCCCAGTCCCCTAAATAGAGGTCTGCTCAAAGGCGTTCACAAATCACACACACTAGAAACGCTGGGCGACAGAAGAGCCCTGCTTGGCTTCCTTAAAATGGCCCCTCCACAGAGTGGGAGATCACACAGAGGAGGTGGGGATCTGCCCTCCAGAAGCTGCTGCTTGCTGAGCTGGACACCTTCATGTTCACCAGATGATTCAGTCTTTTCCTTCACTCCAGAAGATAGGCGGAGACCCAGGTTCATACTGGTGAAATGAATTGTCCAGAGCCATGCAGTTAATAATGCCTTTTTCACATTCTTCAGTGGCTTCTATTACCAGAGGAAATAGGAAATTCCCTAGCAGAATATCTAAGGCACCCAGGAAAGGCACCTCCTTTCAAGACGCATCCCCATTCAAGGCTCTAAAGGACGCTGCACTCTCCTCATGCAGATCTGCAGGCAGTTCCTGGCACAGACACACTATCTCACACAATTCCATCCGACACATGCCTTTCCCTCGTGTCTGCCCCTACAGAATGGGGCTTATTCCTACTAGTCCCTTAAAATCCACATGAATAAATGAAAAAAAAAATAGCTCCTGATAGAAATATAGCCTAAGGAAACAAACATGTGGGCAGAAATATTTATTCAAAAATAGTCTTTGATATACAGTTAGTTTTGACAGTACAAAATTAGAAACGACCTAAATGTTTGAAAAATATGGGAAATGTTTAACAAATTATAGTATTTCCCTATTTAGGGGCTACTAATACAGCCATACATGGGCTGGTTTGTCTTCTTTTTTAGATTGCCAACAAAAAGTCTTGACCAGATCACTGTAAATCAGTGATTCTCAACCGAGGAGGCAAGAAGGGCTGTAACTCCTTCCCAAGGCACTGCAATTGGTAGGCAAAGTTTATACAATTATGACTCATGCTGTTGACATGGTGTCTAGGCAGACAGGAATGCTGAGCTGGGTTTTCACAGGTTTCCATGTGGTACAGGCCACAGCTTGATACACACCAAGAAACAAGACTATGCATTTGCTAAGACCTGTGAGAACTTGGCTTTATGAGTATCTAAGAGAGTGACCAGGGCAGTAAATAGTTCTATTCAAACAATGACACTATGCTGAGGTGTCAACAGGATGACAGTGTAATTACTATACATGCAAATTAATCCTTTCAAATGTACTGCTTAAAATACCAGCACTTTGTTAAGGTTGTGCTGTTACAAATAAACACCCCAATTCCAGGGTTCTTTCTTAACCACATAACTAGTCCAATGAGGATGTTCCTGCTCAACAAGTGATTTTCCTCCATACAGTGATTCAGGTACCCAGGCTCTTTCCAACTATAGCTCTTCCATCCTTAGAGCCTTGAAGTCCTGGCAGGTGGAGAGAAAGAATATGGAAAAGTCACCTCTTTGCTGCCTTGTCCTGCAAGTGACACATATCACTTCCAGTCCCATTCTGTTGGTGACTAGTACATATTCCTACCTAGAGGCATGAAGTGGTAGGAATGCTGTCCCTAGCTGAGCAGCCAAAACTCTATAGTATGAAAGGAGAAACACACACTTCTAGTATATAGCCCACCTTCTGTGCCATGGCCACAAACCCAAAAAAGTTGAGAACCACAGGGTAACAGGATTTTGTGGCTGGAGAAGTGGCAAAATACCCAGTACTGCCTCAATAGTGGATCACTCTCTCCAGCTCCCAGCATTTTGTACATTGGAACATATCTCAGGCCTGGTGGAGGAGTTGAACAATGCCTTCTCATCATTTCAGAGACCAGATGGATGGAGCCTCTGCTCTCATTCCTCCCATAGCCATTCAGTTGGCTACCCTCCTGCTAGGACACGGTCCTTGCTGGGCAGCTCAGGCTCAGGCACTGGTCCCTGGTGCAATCAGTTGTCACTAGGGAAGCTGAGCGGGCTTCATGGTATGCATGCGGTTGAGAAGGTATAACTACTTCCTGGAAAAAGAACTGCATGGGACCCCTTTTCCTAGAGAGAGATTGTAAGCACGGCTGATACTTGAGGCTTTATGGACCTGCCAGTACATAGAATCATTAAGAAGCCACATGAGGACAGGAATCATAAGATGTGTTGACCATTTTCACCACTGTATCCTCAGTACTTAGCACAATGTTTTAGAAACCCTGCAGCATCCTCCTGGAGATGCACCCACTAGGGCCTCAGCATGCTGCTGGTAGACTTCAGAAGAGAGAAAAGAGAAGCCACAATATAGTACAGTTGAATAGTTACTTGTTAAATAAACAGTTGAAAAGAATGAGTAAATGAATAAATACTCGTGTTCTTGATAAATATTTAATAACAGAAAAGAGTAAAAACAAAAGGAAAGAATTTGGGACAAAAATAGAAACAGTCATGTGTCACTTAATGATGAGGATACATTCGGAGAAGTGTGTCCTTAGGCGATTTCAGTCCTGCAATCATCACAGAATGTACTTGTACAATCCTAGGTGGTGTAGCCTATGACACAACTAGGCTATGGTTGTCGAGCATATGTATGGTACAGTCGAGCACTTGTGGACTACAACCCTGAATAGCATACTGTAGACAAACGTAACACAGACGGTAAGCATTTGTGTATCTAAACATAGAAAAAAATGTAAAAATATGGCATAAAAGATTAAAAATGCTACACCTATATAGGACACTTACCATCAATGGAGCTTGCAGGACCGGAAGTTGTTCTGGGTGAGTCAGTGAGTGAGTGGTGAGTGAACGTGAGGGCTTAGGACATTACTGTAGGCTACCTGTGGAATTTAGAAACACTGTACACTTAAGACCATACTATATTTAAAACAGTTTTTCTTTATCAATAATAAATTAACCTGGTCGGATGCAGTGGCTCATGCCTGTAATCCCAGCACTTTGGGAAGCCAGGACCGGTGGATCACATGAGGCCAAGAGTTCAACACCAGCCTGACCAACATGGTGAAACCCCGCCTCTACTAAACATACAAAAATTAGCCAGGCATTGTGGCACGTGACTGTAATCCCAGCTACTCGAGTGGCTGAGGGACAAGAAGTGCTTGAACCCGGGAGTTGGAGGTTGCAGTGAGCCCGATATCACACCACTACGCCCTAGCCTGGGTGACAGAGGGAGCGCCTGTCTCAAACAAAAACCAAAATAATAATAATAAATTAACCTAGATTACTGTAAATATATGTTATAAACTTGTAAATTCTTTAAATGTTTGACTCTTTTGTAATAACACCTAGCCCAAAGCACACATTGTACAGCTGTAGAAAATATTTTCTTTATATTTTCTATTTTTCAAATTATTTATTTTAGTTTTTAAGTTTTTTGTTTAAAACTAAGACACACACACACACACACACACACACACACACACACACACACAAACTAAGACACCAACACACATATTAGCCTAGGTCTGCACAGGGTTAGGATTGTCAATATCACTGTCTTTCACTTCTACATCTTGTCCCACTGAAAGTCCTTCAGGGCAATAACACACATCTCCTATGGTAACAATGCCTTCTTCTGGAAAACCTCCTGAAAGAGCTGCTTGAGGCTGTTTTTAAAACTTTTTTAAAAAGTTTTACTGTCTTTTGTTTGTTTGTTTGTTTGTTTTGTTTTTTTGTTTGTTTGTTTGAGACGGAGTTTCGCTCTTGTTACCCAGGCTGGAGTGCAATGGCGCGATCTCGGCTCACCGCAACCTCTGCCTCCCGGGTTCAGGCAATTCTCCTGCCTCAGCCTCCTGACTAGCTGGGATTACAGGCACACGCCACCATGCCCAGCTAATTTTTTGTATTTTTAGTAGAGACGGGGTTTCACCATGTGGACCAGGATGGTCTCGATCTCTTGACCTCGTGATCCACCCGCCTCGGCCTCCCAAAGTGCTGGGATTACAGGCTTGAGCCACCGCGCCCGGCCTACTGTCTTTTTTAATATGTAGGAGTACACTCTAAAATAATGATGAAAAGTATAGTATAGTAAATCCGTGAAGCAGTAACGTAGTCATTTATTACCATGCTCAAGTATTGTTTACTACACACAAACGGTATGTGCTGTATTGTCATACAACTGGCAGCCCAGTAGTTAGTTTACGCCAGCATCACCACAAACACATGAGTAAAGTATTGCGTTAGACAGCTACAAGGTCACTAGGCAAAAGGAATTTTTTAGCTCTATTATAATCTTAAGGGACCACTGCTGTATACACAATCCATTGTTGGCTCAAACATTGTTATGCAGTGAATGACTGTACTGAATTTTATAACCAGTATGATCATAATTATGTAAGTATTTGTCATATATACATAAAAAGACTAGAAAGAAATATGAAAATGTTTACCTTTGGTTCATGTATTTATAAATCACATTTTATACATTCATATATTTCCCAAGCCTTCTAAGAATAGAATCTTTGTACAGATTTAAAAGTTCGAATAAGTGTTATTATTTTTTAATTTCTACCCAATGTTGTGTCCTGCAGGAATTATTCTCTGACCACTCCAAGGGGACTTGAATGCCCCTCCTCAGTGTTCTAGTATCTGATAGTATCCTCTACCATTCACTAAGCACGCTAGATTTACATCGTTTGCTTATCTAACTCCCAAGCTCTTCGAAGGAACAGACTGATTCCTTAATCCCTGAATTCCCAGGCCTATGCGCATACACTAAAGCACTCCTAAGGTCTGTGGACTAGATGAAGAAATCAGATGAGTAGGGGTATGCAAACCCAGGCATGCCTATTCCCAACCCAGTCGCATTCCAATCCCTGTGACAAAAGGGATCCAAGATTTCCTCCACTGACGACTGTGACCTGGGGACTGGGAAGAACTGTATATAGGAAGATCTTGAAGAGCTGTCCACTTGAATAGTCAGCACCAGGGCTGCAGGGAAAGCAATAGCTGAAATCCAAGTTAGGTTTTCCTGGCAACAGTCAAGATTAGTCAGAGGTGGCACTTGGAGGATTCCCCGAGTCTGCTCATTCCTTTGGGATCACTCATTCCTTCCAAGGCCTCCCCTGGGAACAAAGGAAAACCCCAGAGTTTGGGACTGGGCTCTTTTCCACCAACAGCTGCTAGTAGTATGTATTTAACCCTAAGTCACAAATCAAATAAAAGGAGGCGGGGGAGGGGCGAGGAGTAGGTAAGCACCCCCTAGGAAACACTTTGATTTTCTCTAAATTTATTCCAGAAAATTCTTCTAAAGGACTTTTAAGGACCACAGCATAATGCCTTGGAAACTTAGTTTTAACTTTTTTTTTTTTTTTTTTTTTGAGACACAGTCTCACTCTGACGCCCAGGCTGGAGTTAAGTGGTGTGATCTCGGCTGACTGCAACATCCGTCTCGGATTCAAGCGATTCTCACGTCTCAGTCTCCTGGGATAACAGGAGCGCACCACCTTTCCCGACTACTTTTTGTACAGTAGAGACGAGGTTTCACCATTTTGGCCAGGCTAGTCTCGAACTCCGACCTCAAGTGATCTGCCCGCCCTTGGCCTCCCAAAGTGTTGGGATTATAGGCGTGAGCCACCACGCCCAGCCAGTTTTTAACATTAGCCACACTGAAACTGAACTATTGGTCAAGTGAAGCCACATAAAGAGCAGTAAATCCCCTGTTCAACCGAGGGTTTGTGACGCCCCTGGGTGCTGACAAGCCAAACCACACCCTCCCTTTGGCACCTAGAGGGCCCGGCAGGGCGGGGAGCCCGGCTGCTGGGGAGGTGCTGCCCCCCACCCCCCTGCCCCACCGGCGCAGGCGGCCGAGACCCACGGATGGACCTCCTAGGACTAATCTGAGAACAACCAAGCCCTAGTGCCTCTGAGGTCGATAGGGCTCCACGTGCCACTCCCTGCAGGGTCATCCAGAAAATAATTCCTAGACCCGTAGGTGCCCACAGAGACAGTACCTCTGGTACTGCGCCCGCGTGCCCCACCCGCAGGACAGCCAGGTTCTTTGATTTCGACAGTCACCCACTTTCTAAAACCAAACCCGAGAGGAAGGGCAGGCCCAGGGTGGGGATGCCCTGAAATATTCGAGAGCGGGACCGTTCCTACTGAAGAGAAGTTTACAAGAACGCTCTGTCTGGGGCGGGCGAGGCCGCAGCTAGGCGGGTCCCGGAGCGAGAGCAGGGCGTGGACCGTGCGCCCCGGGTCGGGGGAGTCGGGGGCAGGAAGAGAGGGAGGAGACAGGGCTGGGGAGCGCCCGGCCGAGCGCCAGCCAGGCTCCTCCCGCTCCCGCGCCGCCTCCCTCTCCCCACCCGCCGCACGTACTAAGCAAGGCTCACAGCCCGCTGCGCTCGCCTCGCCGCCCCGCGTCTAGCTAGCCCAGCGTCCGCCGCGCCTTGGCCAAGGTGAGCTCCGCCCGGCCCACGTGCCCTTCCCGGATAGTCCCCAGCCCCCGACCTGCCTCCCGGGATAACCCTCGCACTTGGCTTCGCGGAGCGTCCCGGGCACCGCGGGGCCTGGACGGGGAGCGGCCGGTGGGGAATCCGCTGCTCAGCGCTCCGGACCGCACCCAGACGAGGCCAGCAGCGCCCCTCCCCGGCCCGAGCGCGACCTCCCCCAGACCCAGGCGAACCGAGGAGGGGACACTTGTCCTTTACGTGGGGACTGTGGTGTTGGTGCCCCTGGACCTCCTCCCTCCTCCCTTTGTTTGCCTTGCTTTACTCCCACCTTTCCTGTTTTCCAACTCTGTCTCGGGTTGCCGAACCCCTCCTGCTAGCCCCTGCCCTGGCTGGCGTGTTTCTTGGTGAAAACTCTGCCCGCGGGCCAACCTTGGTTTGCAGCCCAAGCAAGCGCGGGTAGGACGAGTAGGGAGCTGGGGGCGTCCCTGCCTAAGGAGTACCCCTTAGTCCCTCGGCCAAACGGGCGTTTCACGTTGGGGCTTCCGGTTGTCAGCTCGGCGGGGTCTTCCTGCTGATGGAGGGTGGGCCACTTGTTTTCTTTCTAAAGCAGTTTGGCTGGGGGGAGGGAGGGGCGATGTGAAGCGGTTTCTCTTCTGAGAGGTTCCCTAGCTAACTTAATTAAGTAAGTGGAACCAGAAAGAGATGGAGGAAGAGCAGGCTGTGATGAAGGATCTTCCAATCCTAGATTAATTTGGCCTGGTGCAGTGAAACAGACAGACTTACCATTGGTACTTGGTTCACCACCTGCGCTTTGGCCGAAGGAATGGCGCTGCCCCTAGCTGTGGACACTGCTGCCCTGTCCAGCCTCAGTCTAGCTCTGCCTAAGTGAAACCAGGAGCTCTGCCTTGCTGGCTGGGGGTGGAATGCAGACCGCTCCCAGCCAGGCCAGCACAGGGGAGCCCTGAGCTAGACTCTGGGATGCATTAAGCCCACCACGCTTTCTGCCCCCACCCAGTTCTGTCCCTGTGGGAGCTTCTGCAGGGCGTGGCTAGCGCAGAGGGCTCCAAGATTCTCCTAGTGGTCTGAGGCCTGTGACTCAGCTGTGAGACCATGTGGGTGTGGCTGGTTGCAGATAGTCTCCGTGGATGGTTTGGACAGAACACTCCCTGAAGGAAGAGAGGAACTCTGCCATCTCAGAGGGCATTTTCCAAGAGGAAGTGAGTCACACCTGGACTGGCCGCCAGTCTGCAGGAGAGGTTTCTTTACTGAACTGTGGGTAAGGGCAGTAATTAGATCAGTAACCAAGGCCTTGGCAAGACCGCTCTTCATTATCGGCCAGTATGCGCCTGGCACCCTGGCTCAGCCTTACTTGGGAGGCAGCCTTTCCCGTTAAGAGCTTTGCAGTTGTTGCGGATATTTTTCCCCAGAGGCTTGAGTTTCAGCCTCCAGAAGTGGAGTTTTACGTTGTGTGCTTTAGGTGAGACCAGGCTCATGGAAACATCCAGTCGGTGATCTTTGTTTCCAACATGTTTCAGCAAATTGTAAAAGACAATGCCAGGGGTTGGAGCAGGAATAAGTTCATATAACTCAAAGTAAGTTTCTTCCCGGGACCTGCTCCCACAGATTCCTATCCGGTTTCTGTTTAATCATCCCTTCCCAATGGTGTATTTGTTCCTTCGCAGCCAGACGGTAGTTTGTTCACGGTGGTCCTTGACCACAGTGGTCCTTGAGCCACCATTTGGAGTTTCTTGTTTCAGTTCTTGCCATCTGTTTTTGGTCTACTGGGCATGAAGCAGTTGTTGGGTCTCACTCAGCTTTCTAGGTGATGCTCTTCCTAGCTTTTCTCGGACACACCAAATAGGCCCCTTTCCTCCAGTGAGCCGGCCTCTTGCCAGCCTCCTAAGCAGCCACTCCAGTGGGGTCAGGCCTGGACTGGGTGGAGCTAAGACTGTGTACCTCCTGCTTTCTACTGACAGTTCAAAAAAATGTGTCTTTTGTAGAGCACAGCCCACTTGATATACCCTTGGACACAGTCCAGTCTTTTAAAGCATAAAGTTGAGAGAAACAATGGAATTCTTTCAGGGTTATAATGTATAAATTAGCACTCAAAGTGCTGAGAAAGCTGGACTAAAATTTTAACATCTTAAGTTTCTCATTTTTCTGGGGACTCAACAAATTTAAGAATCTCACATCACAAGCAAAAAGAATTTACTTCTTTTAAACAATTTTCAGAACTTTCTATTCCTTTACTAAATAAGTACCACCCACCCTACCAAAAGATTAAATAGCAGTTGTCACAATAGCTGTGTTGGCTGATTAGGCTGATGCCTGAGCATTCTTTAAGGAAAAATGGATGCACTTGGTTAGATTGGAGGAGGTTTCTTCACAGTTCTTTCTTCCTATTGAATTGCATCTGAAACTTTCCTTTGCTGCCCAACTCTTTAGTGGGCAAGTTTTATTTGGTAAGAGGTGAGAGAGACAGCCTGGATCCAGATCCATTGTTTCAACTCATTTTTTCTGAATTCCCTTCAGAGATCAAATTCAAGAATGCCTTCTGGGTTCAATTAAAAAAAAAAAAAAATCCAAAATTTCTAAAGCAAAAGGAAGGAAATCTCAACATATTTTAAATAACAGATGTTTGTTTTTACTGACACCCTGCCGTTTATTTTCTGGGTGGGCTGTAAGAAAACTAGGGTATGGACAAGATACAGAGAAGCAAAGCAAGTCTGACTCTCACTCTTCAGAAGTGTCCTCTTTGAAACTGCAGCTGGGATCTGGGCAGAGGTCCAGAGCAAACATTTGAGATTGTTCAGGAGCAGACACTTTTCTGAGGAGGACTCCTGCTTCTCTGCTACTCTCAGGACAACCAAAACACATTATTATCGATTTCTTACAAATTAATCGAGCAGGCTCTATGAGGGCTCGAGCACTGGCTACTGGGACCCTGCTCAAGAAACCTGCAATCTGGTGAGGAAAGAAACAGAAACACAAATAACCAGAATTCATGCTAGATGCTTAAGTAGTTTCTACTAGCTGGTTAATTCCTCAGAGGCAGGCACCATGGAGAGAACATGTGTATCTGTGTGTGTGTGAGTGTGTATGTGTGTGAGTGTATGTGTGTGTGAACACCCTCATGCCTAACACCATGTCTGGGACATTCACAGTGGATGCTCAGAGTAGGAGAACCAAAAATGGAAAATTGATTTCCTCCTATGGTAACTAAATTTGTGGAGTCCAGAATTGTTTTCGATAGCGAAAACTGTAGAGAGAAAGACATCTCAGCCCCCCTTCTTAAGACCTGTTGCTCAGGCAGGCAAGTGGGCATGTATAGGCATCAGAATAGAATAATTCAATAAAAGGTGAGTGGACAGCGAGGCTGTTACATCCTGTGATGCTCAGCAGTGAGATGGCAACACTAGAAAAGCATAAAGTAGAAGATGCGATGAATGAAAACATGAGAAAACAGCCAAGTGTTTGAAGAGAAGGAGCAAAGTCATGTCATTCTGACCAGACCTGTTTAGCAGGACACATATTTTTCCTTGTGCGTATGGAATGTGTACTCCTGTGTACTCTACTGTTCCATTCATAGTTGAACTCTTTTGGGGCCCCTTTCCTGGCCCTTCCCAGCTCACATTGTCCTCCTGAGCTCTGAGCTACAAGGTTTTCAGCCTAGTTCTAGGTAATCACACTTGCACCTCAGCTACTACTCAAGGGCGTGTGTGGTTCATTTATGCACCTAACAGTTATAGTGCTCCACGAATAAAAGCAGAATAATTTGTAGTTCTTGGTCAAAAGGAGCTTAAATCTCAGACTGACAAGTAAACAATTAAATGGAATGGAATGTTTCAGGTATAAGAGCAAGTTATTAGGGATAGAGAATGCACTGCTGCCTCTCAGCCTCAGCCCCAAAGCCCTCCTGTCAAAGTGTGTCTAACCAGGATGCATGAAGCCCACATCTGAACAGAGCTTGCAGAGTGGCTAGGTGAGGGAGGAAATGCCAGATTAAAGTCCCTGAAGAACTTCAGTTTCAACAGCTAACAGTGCTGCAGTCAGCCCTGCCCAGGCAAGCCCCACCCAAGAACAGAGGGCCAGGCAGGGCTGACTCAGTGGGGCAACCAGTGACTGCACTCCGACAAGAGCCACGTGATTCATCCTCTAGCCAAGAGAACAGAGTTTTAATAACATTTTCCCCTTTCTTCTATCTTAATTTAAAGCCAGTGTGCAGCTCCTTCTTCAAAACAGAGTTCCTTCTCTGGCGAGTGCCCTTTGGGGCACTGGTTACTGAAGAGACAAGGGCTTCTCCCCTAGTTTTCAATGCTATTTTCACCTCCTGGCTGGCCCCTGCTCTGTATCCTTATTGGAGAAGGTCTACTGGACAGATAGGGAGTCAGCTGGCTGCAATATTCACAATCCATCCACTGGGTAAAACCACTGGGGGAGAAGGGAAAGGGAGAACCCAGTGGGGCAAGGATGTAACTTCAGAGAGGAAAGCTCCATCACTTTATAATGGCTGTGGGCAAGAGAGGCGTGGGATTGAGCGACATCAGACCTGAACCCTCATGCAGTGTGAGTTAGACTCACCTTGTTCTCTTGAAGAAGATATTCAAGGGTGGCCAGGATTTCCTGAGCAGACAACTTGTATTTCTTAGGAGGTCCTAAATTAGCCTTTTTTTTTTTTTTTTTTTTTTTTTTCAGAGTCTCACTCTGTCATCCAGGCTGGAGTGCAGTAGTGCGATCTCAGCTCACTGCAACCTCTGCCTCCCAGGTTAAAGTGATTCTCCTGCCTCAGCCTCCTGAGTAGCTGGGACTACAGGCGCATGCCACCATGCCTGGCTAACTTTTTGTATTTTTAGTAGGGACCTGGTTTCACCATGTTAGCCAGGATGGTCTTGATCTCCTGACCTTGTGATCCGCCCACCTCGACCTCCAAAAGTGCTAAGATTACAGGCATAAGCCACCATGCCTGGCCCCTAAATTACCCTTTTTAAAATTTAGAGGTCCTTACCCTGTTGCATTCCCTTTCTTAATTCTGCGGCTTTGCAGTGCACTTTCTCTCTGCCCTGTCCCCTGAAGGAAGTAAACTAGGTGCCCCACCCAGTTCCAATTTCTGGGTTCTCTGGGAATTGATCCTGAGATGCTCTGCTGCTCTGAACTTGAGTACAGGTATTTTTAAACCTCTGTGGTGTCTGACTCCTTTCCTGAGTTATTTCAGAACTGGGGTGGGATCCCACGTCCTTCTCCCACAGGTGACTGGCCCGGTTCAGTTATCTTAAATTGCTGGACTTGGAGTACCAATCCAGGCAAGGCAGACTCTCTGTAAACCCACTGCCATCTGAAACCCATATGAGGGATGGGGAATGAGCCAGAACTGCGTCTGAAGAGAAGGAAAAGGGTGTGGTTCCCCTGGAATTCATCTTACAGCCGACCTTGAGGCATTAATGTGCAGCTCTCAGCAAGATAACTAACTGCCTTCCAGATTAATCATGCCAGATTCTGACTTAAAGCATTCTCTAGAATAGCATTCTTTGGTCTGCTGGTTCCCATACTTTTCTGGAGATTAAGGGGTAGAATTTACATTTCTTAAATGTAATTGCTCAATCCTCATGTTTACCAACTCCACCTTCTCCTCTGTAAAAGATAGCATTCAAGGATCAGTGTTGAACAGGCATCTCTAAGAGACAGGAATCAGACCAAAGCATGTCTCAGGTTCCTGTTAGAGCTCTTCAGCAGAGGAAGTTGCCAGCCCTTCCATCTATGCTTCACAGCCTATTCTTATGATTTATTTATTTTTATTTTTATTTTTTAGTGCCATATTACAGTCTCCATTCAAGTTCACCTGTTTCCTATCCAGTAGTGATTTTAGGTGATATTAGCCAAAGCTTCTCTGTTCTGACCAAACGATTCCTTCAATTAAGCCAAAATTCACTGAGGTTCTATTAAGTATCAAGTGCTGGGTCTTGATGAGACATATAACCCTAGTTCATTATACCTAAATGTAATGATCTGACATGTTTCCTTTCCTTTTTTATAAACACTTTATGATGAAAGCACTTGCTCCCCCACTATGTCCCAGACTGAGAGCAGCTCATCTGTCTAGTGCAACTAAAAACATATGAGGTCCTCCCATGAGTTAGCTTATACTATTAACCTGTTGCTTCTCAAATGAACTAGACAATGGACTTTGAGTAGTTTTTATTTGGGTAGAGCAACTGCATTTTACTGCCAGAGATGCAACTGTCTTTATTGCAATAAATAACAAGTTCAGAACTTTAGTAAAGAATACATACATACCCAGCAGGTAAATTCCCTTGTAAGCAGGTTTCTAAACCCTAGAATCAGACTGAACCAAGTTACCACGTTAAGCTTAGAAAGTTGAAGTTTTCATATTTACCAGCCTTGACTGTGTGGATTGTTAGTATCAGCCATATCTAAGAATCTCATATACTAGTACAAAGAGAAATTATGAAATATCTGTTCTTTCAGTGGGTGCTTTGTCAGTTAAAAAGAGGAACACTGGCTGGGCGCGGTGGCTCAAGCCTGTAATCCCAGCACTTTGGGAGGCCGAGGCGGGTGGATCACGAGGTCGAGAGATCGAGACCATCCTGGTCAACATGGTGAAACACCGTCTCTACTAAAAATACAAAAAATTAGCTGGGCGTGGTGGCGCGTGCCTGTAATCCCAGCTACTCAGGAGGCTGAGGCAGGAGAATTGCCTGAACCCAGGAGGCGGAGGTTGCGGTGAGCCGAGATCGCGCCATTGCACTCCAGCCTGGGTAACAAGAGCGAAACTCCGTCTCAAAAAAAAAAAAAAGAGGAACACTGGGCTGGGCATGGTGGCTCATGCTTGTAATCCCAGCACTTTGGGAGGCGGATCACCTGAGGTCAGGAGTTTGAGACCAGCCTGCCCAAGATGGCGAAACCCCATCTCTGCTAAAAATACAAAAAAACTAGCCAGGTGTGGTAGTAGATGCTTGTAATCCCAGCTACTTAGGAGGCTGAGGCAGGAGAATCGTTTGAACCCAGGAGGCAGAGGTTGCAGTGAGCCACTGTACTCCAGCCTGGGCGACAAGAGCGAAACTCCATCTCAAAAAAAAAAGTGGTGGGGGATGTAAACATTGATCTTGCTTTTCTGAATAATTAGAGTTTCTCTTCTTCATTAGGTTATTTATGCGAATTAGCTGGAGTTAGATAAACAGTTCATTTACAGCACCAGTACCTAAGGTGTCTATTTCTACCAACAAGAGACCCAAAAACTGGAGTGGACTGGTTCTTAGATTAACTGAATTTTAAAGCTGGGGAGGACCAAATGGATGATCTCATCTCCATTCCTTCCAATTATTCTACAAAGGCTGGCGGTACATGTGTCTTAAAGTTAATGTAAACCTACACAGATGAACCTGGAGGATGTTATGCTTAATGAAATAAGCCAAGCACAGAAAGACAGATACCAGATGACCTCACTCATATATGGAATCTTAAATAGTTAATTTTAGAGAACTAAAGAATAGAATGGGCTGGGGTGATTGCACTGGAGTGATGTTTAGTCAAAAGATACAAAATTTCAATTACAAGGAATAGTTTAAGAGAGGTATTTACGGCCGGGCGCGGTGGCTCACGCCTATAATCCCAGCACTTTGGGAGGCCGAGGTGGGTGGATCACGAGGTCAAGAGATGGAGACCATCTTGGTCAACAAGGTGAAACCCCGTCTCTACTAAAAATACAAAAATTAGCCGGGCATGGTGGTGCATGCCTGTAGTCCCAGCTACTAGGAGGCTGAGGCAGGAGAATTGCTTGAACCCAGGAGGCAGAGGTTGCGGTGAGCCGAGATCGCGCCATTGCACTCCAGCCTGGGTAACAAGAGTGAAACTCCGTCTCAAAAAAAAAAAAAAAAAAAAAAAAAAGAGAGGTATTTACAACAATATGACTATAGTTAATAACAACTTATTGTATTCTTGACTAATAATAAGAGTGGCTAAGTGTTCTTACCACAAAAGTGCTAAGTATGTGAGGTAATGCGTATGTTAATTAGCTAGATTCATTCATCCCACGATGTATATATACTTCAAAACATCATGTTGTGCACATTAAATACATGCAATTTTATCTTTCAGTCAAAAAAAATTCATTCATAACATCTGTCAAAAAAAAAAAAAAAAGTTGGCCAGGCACAGTGGCTCACACCTGTAATCCCAGCACTTTGGGAGACTGAGGCGGGCAGATCTCAAGGTCAGGAGTTTGAGACCAGCCTGACCAACATGGTGAAACCCTGTCTCTACTAAAAATGCACAAATTACCCAAGCATGGTGGTACATCCCTGTAATCCCAGCTATTCAGGAGGCTGAGGTAAGAGAATCACCCCAACCTAGGAGGCAGAGGTTGCAGTGAGCCAAAATTGTGGCAGTGCACTCTAGCCTGGGCAACAGAGCAAGACTCTGTCTCAAAAAAAAAAAAAAAAAAAGTTAATGTAAACCTTGTTTCTTTACATCCTCTAATAGGCTTCAACAGACCACACCAAAATGCCATCTCAAATGGAACATGCCATGGAAACCATGATGTTTACATTTCACAAATTTGCTGGGGATAAAGGCTACTTAACAAAGGAGGACCTGAGAGTACTCATGGAAAAGGAGTTCCCCGGATTTTTGGAAGTAAGTGTTCAAAGGCTTACAAAGAGCCAGACATAAAAATCAATGCTTCTCGGCCCTGCTTCCTTTTCCTTCTTGTTTCCATCCCTTCCCTGTTGAGGTCACTACTTGAAATGTGTTTTCATTCATTCATTACATAGTATTTAGTACTTGCTATTTGTACGATACTGCTGGGGAAACAGAAAGTGACAGAGACACAGCCCTGATCTTCAAGGAGCTTAGTCTGCAGGTGAAATAAGACTACATACAAATAACCACAATATGAGCTGTTTGTTGGAAAATTCCCTCTGGTTATCTGTGTCGATTGTGATGATGTGGGGGACAGAGTCGGGAGAAAGAAGGCTTTTCACAAAAGAGTGGTCAACTAGAAATGGCTGGCCTCAAGTCCAAAAACCTGGTGGTGGGAGATGCCACATCCTGGTCACATTCCATTTTAAACAACATAAATCTCCCTTCTTAAATCTCTTCAGATAAAGGGATTGTTTTTCCTTTTTCTAATACTACAAAGGAGCAATGTCAGTCATCTACTGATTAGGAGCCACATACCACTCCGGAAATAACTGCTTTTCATATAATAATGCTCTGAGAACACAGGAGCAGTTCGAGTTTATGCCTCACCTTTGACAGACTGAGAGATGCATGAAGATGAAAAGAGGACTCTGCCATCAGCTCAGACACATCACTCAGGACATGGGGCCACAAGGCATAGTTGTCCTTTTGCATTGCAGGATCTTGAGAGATGGCTGTTGAATTCAACTAAAGGTGAAACATTTCATGGCAAAATAGTAGACTGAAATTCAAGCCCTTCTTTCCCTGCCACAACTGTAGTCACCTAAAAAAGATGGTTTCTGTGCTTGGTGTTGAATAATGCATTAACCTCTAAAGGGTGAGAGGGGATACTGGTAAAAGGTTGGGTCCTGCCTCTTGTCATCTGCCTGGTAAATAGCACATTAGTCAACCCCCTGACTCCTGCAATCAATAAACATGAGGCTTTTTAGTATACTATAATTTGCATGTCATCAATATCAGTTAAATAAATAGATATAAATAGCCTAACTACTCTCTCAGAGCTGCAGTTACCTAATGCTATCCTAGAATGAGCTAGAATACGCAGTTCCTCTGCTTTTGTAGAGTCCCATGATACAGCCCCAGAACAGGAGTTAGAAGATCTGGCTCTGCCTTCACTAAAAATGAGCAGGTTGCATCAGCTCCCTAGTCCTCAGTTTCCTCCCCTGTAAAATTAGAGATGGCTAAACATAATTATCTGAAAGGTCACTTTCACCTTCTATGATCATTCAAGCCAAGCAAGGACAAAATGTGCTCATTGTAAGCCTGCCCATCCTATGGACAAAGGCGTGCTCAGTACACTAAACACTTGTTAAGAGTGTTAGAAGCCAGAGTGAATATCACGTAAGACACAGACCTTTTCTTCCTAAAGGCTTTGCGACATGAGACACATAAAAGGTATACGTAGTGTGGAGCACCGAACACAGCAGGGTAATTTATTCCAGGCACAGGGTCATAATTCTGGAAACACCTACACTCACTGCATTAACAGAGCATTTTGCTTCTAAAGTAGACCCCTTATGTCATCCAGATTTCACTCATTCCAACCACAGTCAGGAAGCTGAGGGTGAGGCCAGAATTAGCTGAAACCCATCAACAGCTGCATAGAGCAGGTTTAGCTAGAATAGGAGTTTGCAGTGCTCATGTGAGAAATGCTGCTGCTATATATACTTTTAGGAATTTCCAAGTGCAATTTAGAAACACCTAGCACACTTGAAACACTGAGTATAATTTCCCTCACACATGAATATAGTCATCAGAATTCATAAATCCTTTACCTGAGCCGTTTAACAACCTCAAACAAGCCATATTTCTCTCTGTGGTTGATGGCATGGAGGAGAAGCCACAACCTCCCACTTCCAACCAGCATCACTACAAAAAGGAATGATGAAGTCACTATGGAAGGAAGATGAAAACAAAGGGGATCTTGCCTGCCCCATCTCTGTCCCACACATTCTTTTTTTTTTTTTTTTTTTTCTTTTTGAGACAGAGTCTTGCTCTGGCACCAGGCACCAGGCTGGAGTGAATGGCGGCACGACCTCGGCTCACTGCACCCTCCGCTCCCGGGTTCAAGCAATTCTCCTGCCTCAGCCTCCAGAGTAGCTGGGATTACAGGCATGCACCACCACGCTCAGCTAATTTTTTTGTATTTTTAGTAGAGACGGGGTTTCACCTTGTTGACCAGGATGGTCTCGATCTCTTGACCTCGTGATCCACCCGCCTCAGCCTCCCAAAGTGCTGGGATTACAGGCTTGAGCCACTGTGCCTGGCTGTCCCACACATTCTTACCAGGCACTGAGAGTCATGGGGAGTTTAAGACTCCATCACACATACTCCTTTTGAAGCTGATCCAATATACAACATCCTAGCAAAGAGTATAGGATCACATTAGACTTACCAACTCAAAGAATGGAAGGATTCTAGAAACATTATAGTCCAACCTCCTCAATTCATAGTTGATATGCAAAGGCCCACTAAGCTGTGTGGTTCACTCAGCGTCACACGGCTGATATGATATGAAGCCACACTAGCTTGGCCTCAGCTGTGCCAAGAAGAATGCGAGCTGTCTTCTCCAAACCTAAAACAACCCATGGCATCATTAATACCTCTTTAAAATCCATAGGACAATGATCCAAAACTTACTCCCTAAACCATAAAGATCTTTTCATAAGGAGTTCTCTTTTTAAGGGATTTGACCATGCTATTAGGAATAAAATTTTAATAAGAGAATGTAAGTTTAAACCACGAAATGAGAAGTTTAGGGTGGTTCTTAGGCAGAATCTAAATATGAAATTACTAAAATGCTCCCTCAAGGCAAAAAAAGAAAAATACATTTAGATGACCTCCAAAGGTCACTTATTTTTTTTTTTTTTTTTTTTTTAGACGGAGTTTCGCTCTTGTTACCCAGGCTGGAGTGCAATGGCGCGATCTCGGCTCACCGCAACCTCCGCCTCCTGGGTTCAGGCAATTCTCCTGCCTCAGCCTCCGGAGTAGCTGGGATTACAGGCACGCGCCACCATGCTCAGCTAATTTTTTGCACCATTAGTAGAGACGGGGTTTCACCATGTTGACCAGGATGGTCTCGATCTCTCGACCTCGTGATCCACCCGCCTCGGCCTCCCAAAGTGCTGGGATTACAGGCTTGAGCCACCGCGCCCGGCCCAAAGGTCACTTATGACCTAAAACAAGAGCTTAAATAATTGGGAGATGTGAACACAGTTCTCAGCAGTGCAAATCAAATAAGCTCATCATTGCAACCTTTGACTGATACTTCTAGCCTTTGTTCTTTTTTTCTTTTTTTTTTTCAGAATCAAAAAGACCCTCTGGCTGTGGACAAAATAATGAAGGACCTGGACCAGTGCAGAGATGGCAAAGTGGGCTTCCAGAGCTTCTTTTCCCTGATTGCAGGCCTCACCATTGCATGCAATGACTATTTTGTAGTACACATGAAGCAGAAGGGAAAGAAGTAGGCAGAAATGAGCAATTCCCCCGGCCCTGATAAGAGTTGTCCCAAAGGGTCACTTAAGGAATCTGCCCCACAGCTTCCCCCATATAAGGATTTCATGAGCAGATCAGGACCCTTAGCAAGTGTACAAATAAAATCTAACTCCCATTTGACGAGCAGAGAAAGAAAAGTTAAATGCCAGACAAGCTTTTGATTTTTGTATTGTTTGCATCCCCTTGCCCTCAATAAATAAGTTGTTTTTTAGTTCTGAATTTGAGTTAGAATGTTTGTTGCTCTTTCAGAAATGCTTGTTCCCCAAGAGGCACCTTGCCCTTGGGCAGCCAGCACACAGCAGAGCTCTCCCACAGAACTGGCAAAATGAGAAAACACTCTTCATTCAGGCTTGGAGTCTGACTTCTCTAATTGCTCTGCCCTTGTAGCTGTGTCTACATGAAGGACTCAAAGCATTGGGAGAAGGGATCTATTTTCTAAGTTTATAATTACTGGGCACAGTTTTGCCCAGTTAAATCAGTGCTTTTCTAGCCAGCACTTTGCATTCCTGCAACGTCTGAATCCATTTTTCACAGCAAAGTGTCAGCAAACCTAGGGCAAAAATAGAACCAAAGGAGAAGAGGGTAGCCTGACACCTTAGTGATAACATCACATTAGCATCTATTAAGTCAACTCCCAGATGTCAGGAAATATTGTAAGCATGACTCATATACAGGGCAGTGCACTTTTGTTGAAAATGAAGTGTCAGTACTGATGTCTTAACAGATAATCAATGCAAAATGTTTCTCCCAGCCCTTTTCTGTGCCTGTTACAAGGTTCAGGGTATATGTGCATCACATGCTATATGTTTATTAATAATACAGTACCCTATACTTTTATGGAGAGGTGATACATGAATTCCATGAATTGGCACATGGCATTATTCCGAGTAAATAGGTCAAAGAAGATGGAATCTTTACTTTTATGATTGGACATGTCAATATAACTGGGAAAAACTTCCATCTCACTCTGGGAAAAAGTACAACATAAGGTTCTCTATAATCACAAGAAAAAGCATGCAAAAGAGAACAGGATAGTTCAAAACTGGCTTTGATAGAAGTCCGTAATAAAATCAAAGTCAAGGAAAACATTCCAACCATTTTATTTTGTCTCAGTCAACAAAAGAACAATGTAAAACAAATTATAGTTTTACAGGTGAAGCATTATATGAGCAAGTTTACAAAGTGGGATTTATTATAGGAGTATTAATGAAGGAGGGGAGTTGACTAGTTAAAGGAAGTGACTCTAGATTGACTCCAGGAATGACTTCCAAATCCATGCTACAGAACTGGGCCACCAAGGAGCTGCTGGCTCAGGAAGCTGCCTGCTGAATGAGGAGCCATTGCCACAGCTGGCTGCTCCAGAACCACACAACTGTGGCAGTCTGCACAAGCAAACGCACATCCCCACTGCCCTCCCTCTCTCCACACATGGCTCGGCTCTCATATCCAAGTCTCAACAAAGTGCATCTAACCGGCAGAGCCTCAACCACAAATTCCTAACTGCAAGAGACTCTGGAAAATAAAGTTCTAACATTTTCCAACCTTTGCACACTAGCAGCTGATTGTACCACAGTGACAATTCCTAATCCCACGTGAAGTCTTCCAACCTGGAGATTAAAGAAATCGGGGCTCTAAGCAAAGGAGGCTCTGGAAGGTAACATCTGTGATAGATACAGAGACAAGAAAAAAACAAACCGGCCCATCACAGTAAGGCAAACAATTTCATGTTCATGAGAATTTGTGTCAGCCCAGATTCACCCCTTTAATTTACCTGCCTCCTGGGCAACTGTGTTTACTGGGTATTATGAAGATTAGTGGTCAACTCACAAATGGGCAGGGAAAATTATAAGAGGGAGATATTATTATGCGCTCATATGTCCTGAAATCCGCAGCAACCTTTCACACTCTAAGAGCCTCTTGCCTGAAAACAAAAACAGAATTATCCCAGGAGGAGAGGGGCTCTCAGGGTAGGAGAAAGGAAGCATCAACTCACCTTCACAGAAAAATTCTGAAGCAATGTGTTGTTCCCAGCAGATTACCCCAGACTCTCATTCAGAACGGTGCCCAGTGCCAAGGAATTGAAAGATAACAGGTAAAGCAGACGGCGGGTGCAGTGTCTCACGCCTATAATCTCAGTACTTTGGGAGGCTGAGGCGGGCAGATCACCTGAGGTTAGGAGTTCCAGACCAGCTTGACCAACATAGAGAAACCTAAAAACACATGGAGAAACTCCACTAAAAACACAAACTAAGCTGGGCATGGTGGCGCATGCTTGTAGTCCCAGCTACTCAGAAGACTGAGGCAGGAGAATCTATATTTGGAATGGATTTATATGTGTGTTGAAGAGAAGGGTTATGACACTTTCCTCACTTTGGCCTCATTGCTCAAAGCATTTAGTAGGGAGCTGTATGGGGAAAATAAAAATGGTATTTATGGCTTAAAATCCCATGTGGCTCTTTGTGCCAACAAAAACACAGAGATCCCACAATCTGACCTGCTGAAACTGCTGTCTAGGCTTCAGGGATTGCAGCCCAATGACTCCCAGGGGGCAAAGCTGCCATTATGCCAACAGTCATCAAGAGGAACCATCTGGAAAATTCCATTCATTCTGCTACATGGCTGAGTTGTAAAAAGTAGATCCCACCCCTCCCCACACCCAGTTATGAAGGAAGAATGAACAGCAGTGCAGAAAGTCAGTTTCAAACATGCTGCAGAGCTGACCCTGAAAAACAGATCATTTTTCTCTCTTGCACCTACTGCCTTGTCCAAGTCCCCTGAACAGCAGTCAACTACCTGTGATTTAATACTTTTCTACCTAACCTATCTCACTAGGAGACCAAGGACAAGCCTACAAACCTCTCTATTTCAAATCTGACCAATTTGAAAGTGACTGTTCAAGTCCCTTCTCCAGCTCTTAACCCCACAGGAATAGTTGTAAATAGAAATCAATTCACTTGGCAAATACTGATAAGGGCCACCATGTGAATGGCACCAAGCAATGTTCTGTATAAAGGCAGGTACAAAGGAGCAGATGGCCACGGTGCCTGCTCAAGAAGATTACAATCTAGACTGAAAGACAATAGATAAAGCAGATGGATGCTGTGGCTCCCATCTAATCCCAGCACTTTGGGAGGCCGAGGCGAGCAGATCACCGGAGGTCAGGAGTTCCAGACCAGCCTGACCAACATGGAGAAACCCCATCTCTACTAAAAATACAAAAATTAGCCAGGCATGGTGGCACATGCCTGTAATCCCAGCTACTCAGGAGGCTGAGGCAGGGGAATCACTTGAACCAAAGAGGCAGAGGTTGCGGTGAGCCAAGATCGTGCCATTGCACTCCAGCCTGGGCAACAGCAATAGATAGATAGATAAAGCAGACAAAATAGATAACAACAATAATAATAGATAAAGCAGACAAAAAGTTAACTAACAACACAACAGAGCACTGGCAAGGGTGACATGTGATGGGCACCTCTGGTCACTGTTGATAGGTATGTAATTTATACAACCTTTCAGTAAGGCAAAAGTTGGCAATATGTACCTGCATCCTTTAATGTGTGTGTTTTTTTTGACCCAGTATTTCTATTCCTAAGAATTTCTCTTGGCAAAGTAATCAAAGATACTTACGATATTCATATACAAAGATATTTGATGCAGCATTATTTAGAATAGCTAAAACCTAAAGAAAACCTCAGTGTCCAACAACAGGGCAATAGGGTCATGGTTAAACAAGTTATGTTTAGATTGTTCAGATGTACATGGAATGCTATATGGCCCATCAAAATCACTTTGAAAAATATTCAATGAGATGGAGAAATGTCTATGTAAAAGTAAAGCAGACTGCAAAACTGGTATATAATAGTATTCCTTTCTTTTCTAAATATGCATGTCTGCTTGAGTGCATGCCTGCACAGAGAGAGACAGAGAGAGAGACAGAGAGAAGCAAGGGAATACACTCAGCTATGTTTCGTTTCCAGAGTAGGAGTTACTGGCTGGGGAAATTGTTGCTCCAGAAAGATGGTTATGAGAGGATTTTAATTTTCTTTATATACAGTGCTATGTCACCTAAATTTTCTATACAATTCTTTCCTAGCCCATCTACATGTACTTGCACTTTCACAATCCATAAAATTTTAAATGATATATTTTGAAAGAGTATATGTATTTATTGAGGGTCTACCATGAGTCAGGACCTGTATGAGTAATTTTTAAGCATTCATCTTACTTGGACCTCATACTAACCCTGTTAAGGTATTGTAACACTATAATACCCATTTTACAGATGACAAAACTAAGACTTAAACTCCCTCAAAGTTCCACAGCACTTATTGTTTCAAGATTTAAACCCAGGTATCAAGATAGTCTCTCTATCTGTGTTATTCTTTCAAAAGAGTAAGAGATTTTGTGGGTTAGATGAGGCTAGGCAGAGAAGATTTTGTGTAAGAGATAAGATGTTATCTGGTCTTTGAAGATAGGAGGCAATTTGGATTTAGATCCAGCTAACATTAATTGAGTTCTCACTACATTGCAGGCTCTGTTCTAGTGCTCTACCAGAATTAACTCATTTGTCCCTCCCAACAACTATGAGGTAGGTACTATTACTGTTTCTACTTTACAGGTGATTTGACCAAGGTGGAGGCAGGATTTGAAGACAGGCCATCTAAGATTTTAGCCACTCTTCTCTGCTGCATCCCTGGACATAGTAATGATGGAATGTCCAAGACAGAGAATCCTCAGGAGGCCATGTAGAATCCAGCATGTCGAAAGTGGTGTGTGTTCCCGGCAGAAAGTTCGTGTAGGTGGGATGGGGCAGGCATGAGGTGTTAAAGAAATGATAAATGGAAATAATAAAGGATATGTTGTGGATGAGGTTGCTCAATAAAAATCTCTACAGGTCCTAGGTTTGGTTATTACTACTTCTTTGGGAAAAAGAGATGGCCCTCCTCTAAAAGGAGACAATCAGTCAGTATGTTCCCGTGAATATTCAACCCACTTTTCTCCACTGCCCACATTCCAATCACATTCTGGCTACAAAAGATAAAGCAGGGTGGGGATGATTCACATTTAGCTTTCTGAGAAGCTCTCAGAACAGAGGGAAAAAATGTGACCTCTGGCAAGCCAAGCCAAAATTGAGAGGGAAAAAAAATCAAGGTGATAGGGCCACAGTGTCTAGGTGAGAAAGGCCTCTGATAGAACATTCGTTCGTCTAGTTTCCCACT